AAAATTTGTATGGAACCACAAAAGACCCTGAATAGCCAAAGCAATCCAAAGAACAAAGCTGGAGGCATCACTTCCTGATTTCAAACTATACTACAAAGCTACAGTAATCAAAACAGTATGGTGCTGGCATTAAAAACAGTCACATAGGTGAATGGAACAAAGACCTCAGAAATAAACCCACATATATACAGTTAAAAAGTATTTGACAAGGGAGCCAAGAATACTCAATGGGTAAAGATAGTCTCTTCAATAAATGATATTGGGAAAACTGGATATTCACATGTAAAAGAATGAAACTGGACCCCTATCTTACATCACTTACAAAAATTAACTCAAAATGGATTACAGACTTAATTGTCTGAAACCATAAAACTTCTAGAAGAAAACATTTTTAAAAAACTCCTTGAAATTGGTCTTGACAACTATGTTTTTGGAAATGATACCAAAAAATGATACCAAAATGATACAAGCAACAAAAGCAAAAATAAACAAGTGGGACTACATCAAATTAAAAACTTCTCAGCAAAAGAAACAACTGACAAGATGAAAAGGCACTGTATAGAATGGAAGAAAATATTTGCAAACCACATCTCTGTTAAGGGGTTAATACCCAAAATATATAAGGAACTCGTAGAACTCAATAGCAAATCATCATCATCATCCAATTTTAAAATGAGCAAAGGGTGGGCCGGCCAAGTGGCTCAGTTGGTTAAGAGCTCGCTTACGAGTGTGAGCTCTGAGCAACAGCAGTTCGATGCTCGGCCCAAGCTGAGCTGCCAACAGGTGGCAGGATGGCTCAGCTAAACAAAAAACAAAACAAAACAAAAAAAAAAGAGCAAAGGATCTGAAATAGACATTTTTCCAAAGAAGATATTCAAATGGCCAACAAGTACATGAAAAAGTGCTAAACATCACTAATATCAGTGAAATGCAAATCAAAACCACAAAATCACCACACACCTGATAGAATGCCTATTATTAAAAAGGCAAGCGATCACAAATGCTGGCAAGGATGTGGAGAAAAGGGAATCCTTGTGCACTGTTGATGAGAATGTAAATTGGTGCAGCCACTATGGAAAAGTGTGGAGGTGCCTCAAAAAAATAAAAAGAGAACTACCATATGATCCAGCAATTCCACTTGTGGGTATAAAGCTGAAGGAAATGAAATCAATATCTCAAAGAGATATCTGCACCCCCGTGTTCATAGCAGCATAATTTACAACAGCGAATGCATGCGAAAAACCTGTGTCCATTGACAGATGAATGGATAAAGAAGTTGTGAGAAGGAAATCCTGCCATTTGCAATAATATGGAAGAACTTTAAGGGTGTTATGCTGAGTGATCTTGAGAGAAAAGTACAAATACTGTATTTGTGGATTCTCAAAAACTCTAAACTCTTAGAAACAGAAAGTAGATTGTTATTTGCAGGGAGCCAGGGAATTGGGGGAGTGGGGGAGGGTGGGCGAGGAATAAGTAAAGGTGGTCAAAGGGTACAAGCTTCCAGCTATAAGTCCTGGGGATGGAATGTACAGCACGGTGACTATAGTTAGTTAACAATACTGTGTTTTATATTTGAAAGTTGCTAAGAGATATCTTAAAATTTAGTACACTTAAAAGTTGTAACTATGTGAGGTGATGGATGTGTTAACTAATCTTATTGTGGTAATCATTTCACAAGATACACATATATCAAATCATTACATTGAACACCTTAAACTTACACAGTTACATGTCAATTATAACTCAATAAAGCTGGGGGCCAAGGGAAAGAAAGGTGTGAGGAGTGGGCTAGGGAAGAATGGAGAAAGCAACTAATTACAGCCTAGATTCCTTTTAGCACCCTCTATGTACCCTGGGCTGGGTGCTATGTGACACACACTCTCCGTCTTTTGAAACTAAGTGATAAAAAGATGAGAAACTAGATGGAAATTCTGGTGATAACTTTTTTTTTAAGCCACTAAATTTGCTAATAGTAAGTAATAATAATTTAAAGACAAAAGAAAATATGTTTATCCTGCTTCATATGAAGGTGAGGATCAAATGTAGGGACATTGACTTACATTTTGAAATCTTTTGTTTACAGACTATCATGTTAGAAAGACTCTTAAAACTTTTTGAGAGTATAACCAACCACACACAAAGAATGATGGTCTCCGCTAACAAAGGGCAAGGCCATTGAAACAATCTTGGATGAGACTTACCCAAGACCCATTCTGTCCTGTGCCCCAGTATTTCTACAGACACCAGCCAACATGTCCTTACAAGTGAAATCAGATTCAAGAACATTAAGGCTGCTATTTTTATGAGGAAATGAAACAAATGTAGTGTGAGGAGTGTGTAGTATTCATTCACCCAACGTTTACTATACACAAGCATTGTTACAGTAGTTGAGCGACGTACAAAATATTTAAAATGAGGACAGCTTCTGCCTCCTAGGAGGTAACAATCTAAAAAGTAAGGTTAGCATGTAAACATGTTAGAAGATGTAAAAGAAGAGTAGAGACTAATACCAGGAGGGAGAGTAAGGAAGAATCATACTCCTTTGCTTTGCATATTGAAATGTAATGTAGGAGTAAATGGGTTTATGGTAGGCTAGTTTCCCAGGGTTCTGTTCCCCAGAATGCTAATCTGGTAAATTTGGAGAAAGGGGAGGGTGTGGACGGTTCCATGGTTAAACATGACATATTATAGTCCTCCTGTAGGATTCACTACCAACCAAATTAGCAAATTAGCAGTTCCAAGAAGTCCACTACTAAAAACAAAAGCATCCAACTATTCAACCTGCATTTCCCGTTTTAATTAACCAGGGAACCCTTTTACTAGCACCTGTAAACAATCTTGGGAACAAATTTTGGGAAAACAGTTGTGTGGCCACAATCGCACTGAGCCGCTGCTAACACTGCAGGAGGGGATGAGACCAAAGCCCGGAGAATCCCTTCGTGCTTGGCTCTTTTTAGGTTGATTTCATTAATGGCATAACATGTCAATAGTTACTTAACAAAACTAAGCATGTAAGTATCTGTAATACAAGAGAAAGCAAGAAGAAAAACACAAACTCACAGATGACTTCTGAATTCTTTTTCCCCCCAAGGGTCACAGCATAAATTTTATTACATGGCACGTAGATCAAGTTGCTGTCGTGTCACAACGTTGGAACGTATTTAGTGACCCAAAACACTTATGCCAAAGAGCTGTTCTGAATTCTTACTTTGATCACAAATGTTGGTCTTCTGAAATGTTAACTTTTCCCAGAGATGAAATTTAAGAGATGTGGATGCTGGGGCCTGACAGGCTATGGGTCTTGGCTTATTATGGCTGTGCAAAAATGTAAATGTCAATTATTGGACCATACCTGTAGCGTGAGGGAGAAAAGCTATTAAAATGAAACACATCAGCTGCAGTCTCAAGAAATTGAAATAGCCAAGCCCATCTAACCAGACTCATTCATACCAATTGGTCTCATTTCTCATTGTGCCAAGGTGCCTGGATTCTAATACAAACACATTTACTATATTTTAGCTGATAAAGGGTTTCATAGTGAACCTCTGCTCATTTCATTAACATTTATTTTAAATGTTCAGATACCATATTAGCAGCAACAAAGTCACAGATTAGTAAAACCTCATGACCATCAACGAACCATTCTTTATCCACAATTACAGAAAATTTTTCTAAAAGTTCTGCAGAAAAAGACCAAATACTAAAATAATCAGATTCTTCCCTGGTTTTAGGATAAGTTATGCCAGGTGAATGCTTCTATTTTTTCTCTTTCTCTGGCCCTCTCTGGTCCCTTTCACTGATGCTGGAAAACATAACTCTTCCTTGCAGAGAAATCAGCCAACTCACCATTCCTGTGCATACCTAATTTACAAGATGAATGAAATGCTGCATATTCTATACTGTGGGCTGGTTTTATTCTCTCATGACACTCATTTGCCATCTCCTTATATGTGCATGAAAATGCAAAGCAATTTAAGTCTAAAATGAAAGAAGCTTCAAAATACATGTATACCAAAATGAGTGAGACTCATATCACATATGCCTCCCCAGTGGCATGCTAAAGTTGGCTAGAATACTTTTTGAAAGGTGGTAGGGTTTGTGGGAGGGATGGGTGGTAATGGGCACTGCACTCTCAGAAAACCTGTATATGCCCAACTCTACTTCTTAAAGTGTGTGATCTCAACTCACTGAACATCACAACTAAAATGAAAAGGTTGGACAGAATGATTTCTAAGTTTCTTCTAGTTCTAAAGATTCTTAACTTGCATTCTTTACTGTGTCATTAAGTACCATTTCATTGTGGAGAGTTCTTTAAAGTTGATTAACGGTGAAATTACAAAAATCTGTCAATTCCCCTAACTTAGCACTCATATTCCTATTTGCTAGGCTTATCTTTGAAACTGTGAGCACACAGCTATTCTAGTTCTAACCTCTCATTTTCTTTGCAGACCCATGAAACAAGTTAATTGCATAGCCAATATACAGAGTGCAGTCCTGCATTAGACACATTCTCAATACACTGAACTATGCCTTTTAAAGCCCATAGTGCAAACCTGTGACTTAGTCATTAAAAGTGGCTCTTAAAGCACAGTCCAATAAGGCATTCAAAGGACATCATCTCAGCTTGAAAAATGTGATTCCTAGGCTCCCAAATCTGCATCTTAACACATACTCTGACGATTCTTATACCACCAAAGTTTTAGAAATATTGGCTGAAGGAAAGATGTAAATATTAACTAGAAACTATTTTAAAAATAACTATTGAAACAATAAGGCACAGCTCTGAATATTATTTTTAATTTATCAAATTTGAGGTTTTGAAAGTTGCATAAAGTATTGTACCTTAAGAATTTTCCAAACAAATCTCTCCCTAGCTACAAAGTTAGCAGCATTAGACTGTAATAGTTAAGTGCAATGCATTCTTCGAAAATGTACTCAAATCCCTAAATTAATGCATAAAAAATGCAGTAGTAATTCACATTTTTATTTCCTGGGGGTAGGCCAAGATGACTTTCATGTTTCTGAAGCGATCCACAAAGCCAAGATTGAGATTTCAGAGAAAGGCACTAAGGCATCTGCGGCGACAGGTATGTTGAAAAGAGGGTCAGCGACACTCAGTCACACTGCTGCCCGCCATCTACCTGTTAGGTTTATCCAGTTCAATTTTCACACTCTAAAACATCCCACTGAAAACCCCAAGACCTGATGTGGTATAGCAGTTTTTAAAAAATAAATGTTAACAAAGAAAAGTGTTTGAAAACTGATGGGAGATAAGAGCTATCAATCTTGAATAAGGTTTGTACCATCATCCCCACAAAAAAGGAATAGTCATTGTGATAATTATCTTTAGTAAGGAATTTATTCCATGGAATACTTAAAAAAAATTAGACATAGCATTCACTAAGTGGTATCTTTTCCCTTTAATCCCCCCCATTTCACCCCATCATAAATCTGAGTATTATTACGATGCTTTTAGTTCTTCAAAAATCAAGGGACATAACTGACTTCATATCCAATTTTGTGACTTTCCTCAAATGAATAGAAAATGCAATGGGATTCTTCTATTATCTTTCCTGCAGCTCTATTGTTACTGAAAAGGTCTCGGATTCCTATTTTTAAAGCAGATCGACCATTCATCTTTTTCCTGAGAGAACCCAACACAGGTATTAGGTATTTTTGATAAAATTCAGATAAATCAAATATTTATCAACATGTCTCTAGCAATAAGGGCTCATTTGCCCACTGTGACCTAAATCAAGCATTCCCTGTAGCTAGTTTCTATGGTGCACCAGAAGCTTCCCAGTTGCATATCCAGAGAAAGGGGAATATTTCATAACTACAAAGAAAACTAATATCCTCTGTGGGGTCTCTCCCCCACCCCCCTCAGCTCATTTGTAGCTGATGTAGATTTTAAAATTCAGGTTTCTATTTCTGAGGAGACTTAGAAAAATCATGCAAGTAATATAAATGATAAATCCTTTTTCCATTGCTGCCTAGCTTTCTTGTCACTATAGGATAAAAGGTTGTTCCTTCAGACAACATGAGCAGGGGTCAGCAAACTGCAGCTCGCAAGCCACATGCAGCTTTTTGGGTACGTACATGTGGCTCTAAAGTAAAATTGAAAATGAAAATAAAACTATCACAGTTTCATTTATAAAAATTTAAAAAGATATTATTCACATAATGGTGATTTCATTTGTTTTATGGCTCTCGAATAATTTTTAAATTGTTGTGAGGGACAGGATTTGCTCTTCCGTCTCAAAAGTTTGCCAACCCCTGCACTAGAGTATCCAAGTAGTCCTCTGACACTCAGCAACCCTAATATTCTAGTGAATGAACTTGGATTTCTATACCTTTTCTGTTGATCTTTTTCAAGCTTGCTGAAATTACACAAAAATCAAATGTTTGCCCTTGTAATTTTAATTCCCCCTATACCATCTCGATCTAAAAAACAGTATGGTATAGACAAAAAGCTTTCTGCACATCGCAAGGACAAGCAGAAGTCCTTTAGCATCAACAACACTGAAAAAAATATTCAAATTATTCTTTTTAATGTTCCCTCTCCCCTCTCTGACAATTATTTATCAGCTTAGGAAGGAAAAGAGATTCTCAGTAAAGAGTTGTTGGCAAGTCTAAACAATGTGTTAAAAGAAATAGGATGGAACAAGACTAACAAAATCAAGCAAAAGTGGATCTACTTTAACTAAACATCAGGCATTATTTTTATTTATGGAGAGAAAAAAGTCAAAAGTTAGAATGAAAATTACGCATAGGCTTTACACAAATTGTTAAGGAAATACTGTCAACATCATTTTATCTGAGAATCATTTGCATACTGCTGTAACTTGTGCTGGAAATCAAAGGAACACTTGTGACAAAAAGGATGAAAATAATCATTCACTAGGAAATAATCTATTTTGGGATTATTTGAGTAGAAAAAATCCAACAGAATATATCCTGCTAGTATTTCACCATGTTCATCCCAACTCCATATGTATCAGATGAAAATGTCACATTATCACTTGGAACAGGCAACAGAGAGCCCTCTCTTAGAAAGGATACATGTCAAAAAACGAAAGATGAAAAAAATGACAGATTCCACTCCCTCAAGTAACAAAGAGGCAGAACTAAATTTGAACAGAAAGGTCATTGTCAAAAGCTGATAGCCAATAAAGGTTGATGAGTTAAGAGAACGCTGTCTCTTTTGGAATTCAACTGCATAAAAATGATGTAAAATCTGTCAAGTAGCAAGGGACACACCACTATTTCTAGGATAGGAGTTTGCAGAACAGCCTTAGTACACAGAATGAAAAGATAAGGCTAATCCAAAATCAATGCACATCTAAATATAGTCATCTGAACTTATTTACCTCTTTCTGGGAGGCACTTGCTCACATCACAAGACCAAGTGGCCACGCTTCTGATGACATGGGTATTAAAGAGATAAAAACGAGTCTCCGCCTTCAGTACACCAAATTGATCAATCTTACTAATAAGGGTGAATAATGACCCAATCAATTGACAAATGGGACACATATGAGACCATTAAGAAAAACGATCTTAACCTCAAGATTAAACTGTGGGAGATCACCATTTGTCCAGCCTAGTCATCCAGTGATCTAAAGGCCTAAAAGACATGATATTCCTCTCAAATATACTCCCCTCCCCTTTGCTTACAAGACTTATACAGTATTTCATTAATTGAACCAATATACCCAGTTTCTTAAAATGTGGAAAACTTGATAGAGATGGAATAGTAAGCTTGAGTCTCAATGGGTTCCAAATCTTGTGACTAGGATTTAGGATGAGGATGTAGAGTGTGGTGGCACAGAGAATAAGGACAAAAAAAAAGGAGAATGAACAAACTGCTACTTCCTAACTCCCTCTAGGGCTCACCCCCCAAAAATGGATTAAAGGTCAAGGTCTAAAGGATTTATTACCTCATGAGCAACCTGGAAAACGGAAATAAGAATTTTCTGGTAAGGAAAGCTGCTAAATATTGGAGTAGACTGACTCCCTTTCCTAAGTATTCTTGTTAAGCATGAACTTTTATCTGAATGACTTGTAATCCCTTCCATTAATTTCAGAATCTAAATATACAGAGGGTATCAAAAAATGTATCAACATTTTAAGAAAGGAAAAAACTGTTATTAAAATTGTAATACTCAATATATACTGATACCAAAAGATGAATACAGGTCATGTGTAAATATTTTTTTGGCACCCCCAGTATATAATTTAAGACCAGACAATATATTCTGGATTTTGTGTAGCTCTTGCTTAATTTAGTAATGTGACTGTAGTAATTACCTTAACAATTTCATCTATTAAATGATATCCTGCTTTACTTAAGGGTATTTTGTAGAGGTAAAAAGGTTTCAAGAATTGTGTATGAAAATACTATATAACATTATATATGCTTCTTTTTCTTGACAGGGTTTCTCTTCAGTATTGGGAGAGTTTCAAGTCCTCTAGACTAGAATGAACAGATCTCAAACATGTTCTCCACTTTCATCTATGCTTTTCTTCATAAAAAGTTACAATTTCATTTTCTTATACCCTTGAAATTTAAAAAATGTTCTAAAGTGAAAAAGATAAGGGTATGATTTTCAAATGTTATGAACCTAAAAATATTTCCATTTTACTAGAATTTTATAAATTTATTTCACCCTTTTAATCTAAACGCATTTTAACCTTTTTCTCCTGGTTACCCCAAAAGCACTACAAGGCACAGCAGTGATCTATGAATGGCAAGTGGGTCAAGTCACAGGGTCACGTCTTCATGGACACATGAGGCTGTCTTACTGAGGGTGGGCAATGAACAGTGTTGGTTTTTCCTTTTCCTGGGTAATCAAGGGAAATGCAAAATGAGCAGTCATCTGAAATGTGTTTCCTTTCCATTTAGCTTCTAAGTTTAAGTGTGAGAATAGCAAAGCAGAACAAAGAAATCCCCTTTGAACTCCCAGTTTGTTATGGGACTTTTGTAATTATGACATCAAGCTGCTAAAGGCAAGACATTTCAGACTATGTGATATATCCAAACTTACAACTCCCTAACCAACCGTTCCAACTTAGAGCCGTCCACAATCCTAGTGAGAAAGGAAAAAGGGTTGAAGGGAAGAAAGGAAACCAATAATGTCCAAAAGTGTCTGCTTTTTCAACAGCTTTGAAAGTGTCTGCCTATCTGCCACAGATAGATATCATCATTTCCATTAATAGGCAGATAGAGTATGTTGGTGTGGCCAACAAAAACTAAGAACATATATTAAAAAGACAATGCAGATTATGTACCACGTAATTACAGTTAGGCTTAACAAAAGTGAACTTCAAGTGGTGTATTTTTCCAATGCTAAAAAGCAAGGTTTTTAAAATTCCATTATCTTAAGATGGTTTTAAACGAGTACTTTAAATGTGATTATTTCCTAAACCACACAAGAGTAAAATAGAGCATTTATTGATGGAATAACAAAAGTGCTTTTCTTAAATATTCTTCAAAATACATTTGTACAACTTACAATAATATATCCAAAATAACTGTATATACAAAACATTACCTAGTTTTAATGTATGTGCTTTTTTCCCCAAAAATTACAAAGTAATTTCTCTTTTTTATTTTTTTGGCAAAGTTCAACCTTAACAGAGGTGACAATTTTAAAGGTTGGTTTAAGAAAATAGAACCTGAGGGAAATTGACACGCAAGAGTCAATGACAAGCAAGAGATTTGGAGGAATATTTTTAGTTTGTTAAATAAAAATGTTTTTTAGAGTGATACTTCTCACATTACAAAAATAAACCAAAATGAAGAAAAGGTCACTGTAAAATGATGGGAAAAGGATCTGTAGACTTGCTCTTAGTATTTCAAATAGCCAACAATGCATGTCAAAAAATGAATGCAAGATCACAACAGTCTTGCATTTACTTTGTATTTGGAGAAGATATAGTGAAATAAGTGGCCACATTCTGTTTTCTTTTAATTGCTATTAATATGGTTGATCTGATTGGCTCTTCGATGAATTTCATCCAAGAAGTTCTCCAGTTGTTCTATTAGCATTCGTTTTTTAAACCTGTATAAAAAAATAATAGCACTCTCAATTTCTTTTTAATAAATAAAGTTATATATTAGTATAATGTTTCTGTTTTTTAAATAGAGAAACTGCCTTGGGAAGATTTTTCAAAGTGAAATGAAAATTAAAATCCAACAACCTTATGATAAACAAAATCTGCTAGAGAATTAGGAAATTATTTTATCAGTACAGTATTACAGTTTGCTCCTAAAACAAATAATCCAGCCTAGGCACCATGGGAAAGAGGTTATTCCTTCCACAATAAACAAAAAACAAAAAACAAACAAACTCTAATACACGAAAGATTACAAATATTCCAGCAAATTAGGGCTCCCAAAGCAATGACTCCAATAGCTTCTTATGTTCTTTGAAAATTGAATGTTGAAAGGAATGTTAACAAAGTATGAATACAATCCCCCACAAAATGGAAAAAGAAATGAAAAATGAAAGTTGGGTAGTAGCACTTTCAAAACCATGGTGTTCTACTGTTACAATCTGAAAGCTAGCAAATCAAGGATAATTAGACATCTTTAGTAAAGGATATAACAAACAGCTGAAGTTCAAGTTGAATTAAAAATTTTTTTAAGTAATATATATATAGTACACTAAAACTGCATTTGTATACGTAAGTATTAATACTGCTGATGCTTTTTTGAATACCCCAAAATATTGCCCAATCTATACCCACTTCCTCTCTACTTGTTAACTAATAAATAGCCACATAATATTCACAAATCTCTATATGGTGGCAGAAGTAGAGTGCAGGCATCAGGAATATAGCTAAATCCATGATGAAGTTTGAGCTGACAGAATGTTACAGAAAGAGCAAAATAGGTTAAATACTCAAAACAAATAACACAAAAGTTATGGCCTTATCTTGTACCTTCCATGTGGCCTATACTCTAGCCACTCATACAAAAAGAATTAACTGCTCTATCTAAAACCACCTTTAGGTGTAGCCTGGAAGAAACTGGGGAACTAATTAAAGAATGGGTATATTTGAAAGGTCAGATAAGATAAACCCTGTTTTCTGACTAAAAGT